CAGTTCATCGACTCTTTCCTTTCTCACCTCCATCCTGATGTCAAGTCCATCTTCCAAGTTTTCCATTTCCATTTTATTCTTTATGTCTTCTATTTATGCTCATCGTTGCTTACTTTAGCTGTTCTGGGATGACTGCTTTTAATCTCCCTTAGGTCTTTGTGACATCCTTGTCATCTTGGTGTTGACAAGTATTGATTGCCTTCTTATTAATTTAGATTGTGATTTTCTTCCTTTCTGAATGGTGAATGATTTTCAGTGGAAACCCAGGTAATTCTACTATTGTGACACGAGGCTCTAAATCTTATTTAAGCCTTGCATTTTAGCTGGCTTCCTCTGACATCACCTCATCAGCAAGAAGGGAGACACTGCCTCTTTACTGCCAGGTGAGGGTAGAAGGTCGGGCTCCCCACTTAGTCTTTGTTGACATCCCAGGGAGGGGCTCATCAGTACTGCTGGGAGGGCCAGAGTTCTATTTCCCACATGGCCACCGCCCATACTTCCCTGCCCAGGAGAGGCAGGAGACCTTATGACCACTACACAGTCCCCACTGACACCAAGGGCTGGGGACGCAGTGTCCTTGTTTCCACTTGGCGGTAGTGAAAGTCTCTATTCTGTTGGACATGTCTGCCCCCTCCCCGCAAGGTAGTGAGGAGTTGTTCATCACTGTCTGCTGGGGTAGTTCCAGCCTCCCTGCAGCCTCCTCCGACACCATTGTGACTGAGGGTGGAGACAGTGTGGGTGCACTGCAGCTGGAGGAGGGTGGAAAGCCAGACCCCACACGCTGTGGCTGGGGCCACAGTCTATTGCGTGGAGGGAGCAGAGCAGTGACCATCTGATGGCGTCGCCAGCTTTCTCCCTTTCGTTCCTCTGACTGGAGACAGCATCTTTTGTTGGGGGTTTTCCTGATCTGTGCTCGTCAGCATTTCCCAGTTGCTGACTTCTGCAGCTCAACTCTGGGATATATGAGACGAAGAGAAAACCCAGGGATCTCCCCACCCTGTGCTCCTTGGGTGACTGACAGTCTTCTCCTCTGAGCTGTCTGTGTCTCCTGGTGTCCAGTTTCAGCTGACAATCTCCCCCTCCCTTCCCTTAAAATGTGACCAAAACTTTTTTTTTTAAAGATTTATTTATTTATGCATACAAGAGCTGGGGTACAGGCCAGAGGTCTGGGGGGTGAGAGGATTCACCAGAGACAGAGCGGGGAACAGAACAGGCAGACTGACCGAGATACGCTGCTGAGGGGAGCAGCGGGCGAGGCAGGAGAGGTCTGCTTCGCCATGTGGGTTGCTCCCTGGCCAGGGATCAAACTTGCGCTACAGAGGCTGCAGATTGCTTCATAGTGCGGTGCTTAACCCCTTGCGCCACCAGGGAGGCCCAAATCTTTTTTTTTAATTGAATTATTTCTCTCTCGCCTTGGGGACTTTTGGATTGCAGGGCCCTGCCCAGAAGCTTCCAGGCATGCAGAAGATAATCTCCCTGGCCAGACTGGTGCTTTCCAGGGCCAGGGCTCAGCAGGATGGTGCCCAGGTCTCCCTGGAGAGGAGGGGAGGAGGAGCTGGGGCTCTGGAGAAGGGAGGCAGGAGCTTCGGGAATCGTTCCCCAGGGCAGTGGTGACGTGGGGTCCGCGGACAGCTTGGCGTCTCGGGGCGGCAGGCGGACTCCTGCGGGTAACAGGGCGTCGAGCGTGCTGCATTGGAGCTGCAGGCGCTGGTGCCCCGGCAGTCACAGTCGGGCAGTCGTTCAGGCTGGGCTGGGGCGGCACGGAGGTGCTGTCTTTGAGGGAGAGGGGAAGGCTGCGAGCCACTGACAGGAAAATCCCAGTGTGTCTGCCCTGCTGGGGGTGGGGAGCCCAGTTCGCACGGGCGATGCCTGGCCCCTGCTCCAGGGACGTCACCTGGGCCTCTGCGTGTCACAGCCTCTCCAGCCCCCGACACCGTTCACACGTCACTCGCGACTGCTATCGAGCACCTGCTCTGGCGAGACTCCGTGCTGAGAATGATGTCGGGGGCAAAGACATATCAGAGACAGCAGGTTTATGATCTTCTTGGGGAGACAAGGCATGTGTGGGGTGAACCCAGGCTGAGGCAGTAAAGGGTTGTAGCGTTTCCCTATGAATTATCTGGAAGGATTTTCCCATAAACTGGATTTTGGGCCCTTGACTTTCGAACACCTTTGGCAGCTGGTGCTCGGCAGAAATTTTTAGGTTGCAAGTGACTGAAGCTTAATTCTTGCTCCCGGGTCAGCGGGAGGGCGCTGGCTTCATAACGGGGAACACATGCTGATGGGCATCACTTATTCATAAGATGTGCACCACGGGCCCAGCATGATGTTCCAAATGGACAGCAACCCCGGGAGACAGCCCCCTCCCCGCCCACGCTGCGCCCCGCCAGGTGCCCAGCGCTGGAGAAGGCTGGGAGGCCATGTCACGTGCTGGCTCGTGCTTTCTGCACCCCCAGCTCTGCCTCCTCAGCATCTCCTCCCTCCCGGGGAGACCCTCTCCTCTGGCAGGAAAGATGCCCCAGCGTGACTCTGTGCCCCAAAAGGGAAAGGAGGCTTCTCCTCCTCTGGCCCAGGGAAGTCTCCAGAAGTCGGAGGCCCCGTGGGGCTTGGAAGTCCTTTCCAGAACAACCACAGTGGCCACCGGGATGGAATGTTCTGGCAGCTTCTGGGTGGGTGGAGGGCGGGTTGCACTCTTGAACTGATCACATGGAGTCAAGGCAGGGAAGCTCCTCGGGGGGGAATTGGGGTGCACAGTGGCCCCAGGCTAGCAGTTATTTCCCAGCCCTCATTGTGCGTGGGAAGGAGGCCTCCTGCGTTTTCCAGGGTCTCTCTCAGGCTGCTGCCCTCATCTTCGGCTGGAAGGTCAGCTCATCGCCGGTGTCAAATCCTCGTTTTCATTTGTAGAAATTGTTTCCTAGATCATCTGCAGCCCCTCCGTGTTGGTGCTAATGGAAGAAACAGAAACAATCTGCGGGTGACACTTAACTCGCCGCTCCCTGACTTAGTCTATGAAATATTTACCTGCGTCTCCCTGTCCCGGCAAGCACCCCCTTAACCTCTTCCCAGCTCCGCCCTGGGAATGCGCTCCCTCCCCCGGCCTCCTCCCCTCCTGGGCCCCCTGGGCCCTGTCTGGCCTCTCCTGTAGGCCCAGACCAGGGCTCCCCTCTGGAGCCAGCCCAGCTGGGTGCTGGAGACAGCACAGCCTGAGTCAGCCCCGCATCAGGATCCAGAATGCACAGGAGGCGGGATGCGCGGGGGGCGGGGGGGCTTTCTGGAAAATGAGCCCCGTGCAGAGAGCTCTCATTCGGGGGCCTGTCCCGCTTGGCCTGCCCCCACCCGGTCTCCCGCGCACACCTGCGGTCTCGCGCTGGCTGCCCTGCCTGCCACTAGCCCTTCAGGGCCGACTGTGGTTTCCTCTGCCCCATTGTTGCCTCTTGACGCTCTCCCTCCTCCCTGAACCCCCTCCTCTCTCCCTGCCCCCTCCTCCCTCTTCTCGTGTCCCCTCAACACTGTCTTCACCATCACCCGTCCAGGGACCAGCTAGGCCGAGACGGGGGATGCGGAACAACATTTTTAGAGAGAAAAGTGAAGGCGGATGTGGAATTCTCAGCATCAATGGGCCGCGCCAGGACGGCCGGGCGCAGGGGTCATCACGGAGCCCCAGGCTAACCAGCTGCAAGTTCACCGAGTCGCCGGGATGGTGCTCCCGGCAAGGCCAAACCAGCGGGCTGCGCGGGTAGCGGAGGCTGTGGACAGGGCGCAGGTGGACACTGCGTGGCGCCGGGGACCCTGGGGGGTGGCCCCGTGGGGGCGGTGGAAGGAGGCGCTCTGCGGCAGGCACTGTTGGAGGGGTGGGGCGCGCGGTGGACAGAGCAGCCCTGGAGGACGCGCTGGGCCAGCGCCAGGTACCCCAGGGCCTGCCAGGAGGAGGGGCTGGCGCTGTGAGGCGGAGCCCGGAGCCATCAGGGAGGGGGGAGCTGGACCAGCCCGGACGCCGCTGCCCACCAGACGGAAGACCCGCAGGCAGCGTCTTCCTTGGCGGCCACGGTGGACCCGAGCTCTGGGACGGGGTCTCCGAGGAGACGGCTGTGACAGCTGCGGGGCCGCCCCTGAGCTCACAGGGCGTGACCGTCCCCTCCTCAGATCTGAGGGGAGAGTTTGGCCGTGGCCAGCAGGCCTGGCGTGTGGGGTCCACCTGCCTGGCACGAGAAAGCCACGCCGCCCGCCAGGCGAGGGCAGAGACCGGCAGGGTTTACCTGCAGGTGGTGGGGAGAGGTCGGCCAGGTGTGCCGGGCAGGGGCAGCGGCCGAGCGTGAACAAAGCACTGGCCTGAGGAGGGGAGGAAGAAGCCTGTCCCCATGGAGACCAGGAGCCGGTCCTGCTCACAAGTAAGAGGGCGCTGGCGGCCGGGCCCCCCGATACTCCAGGCGGGGCCGAGTGAGAGGTGCGGGGCGTGTGGTTCCTTGCGCCGAGGGCCCCAGCTCGGCGGGCACGGACACGCAGGCCGCGGAGGCCAGCTCGCTCGGCGCTGGGGCGGGGTGGCGGGCACAGGCCCGGCTCCTGACCCCCGCTCTGCGCGCCCCTGAGCCGGGCACCGCGGGGGTCCCCGTGCGGCCTCCTCGAGCCCTCGCGCTCCCGGCCGGCCGGCAGGGGTGCCGAGCACTGGACTGGAGACGGCTCCAGGCCGCCGCGCGGGATCCCAGGCCTGGCGGCCGCGGCCCAGGCCCAAGGTCTGCGGGGCGCCCGCGCGGGCCCAAGCGCGGCGCTGCCCCGGCCGTCCGGCTCGCGGCCTGGGGGTGCGGGGTCGCGCGCCCGCGGGCGCAGGAGCCGGGGCGCGGGGCGCGGGCGCGGGGCCCGGAGGGGCGAGCGCCCCGCGGAGCAAAACAAGAGCACGCGCGCCTCCGGCCGCCCGCGCCGCGCGCCGCCCAATCGCCGGGCAGGGCCGGGCAGGGGCGGGGCGCGGCGGGCGGGGCGCCGGCCGCGGGCAGGAGGCGGCGAGGGCGCAGCGGCCCCGGCAGGAGCGAGCGCAGCCCGGTCCCGCCGCCCGGTCCCGCCGCCCGGTCCCGCCGCCTCGGCCCCGGGGCATGGCCTGTCTGATGGCGGCCTTCTCGGTCGGCACCGCCATGGTGAGTGCGCGCGGCCTCCGCTCCGCGCGGGGCGCCTCCGGGGCGCGCGGGGACGCGCAGACCCGCACCTCGCCCGGCGCGCAGAGGCCGGCGCCGCCTCCCGCCCGCCCGGGCCCGCCGGCTGCTGGGGACGCGGGGGTGCTGCTGGGGCCGCGGGGTGCTGGCGCCGCGGGGTGCTGGCGCCGCGGGATGCTGGGGCCGCGGGGTGCTCGGGGCCGCGGGGTGCTCGGGGCCGGGCGGGCTCGGGCGGCCTCCCCCGCTCGGGGACTCGAGACGCGCGGCCGCTGCGGAGCCGCCGGGGGGCGGGGGGCGGGGGGCGGCCCCAGCGGGGTCCGTCCCGGGCGCCCGCACGCCGCGCGCCGCCCCCCGGAGCTGCGGGCACGGTCTGGGGGGACAAAAGCGGTGTCTGCGCCCCGCGAGCCCGCGCCGATGCCCGCGCTCCCCGGGGCGGCCCTCCCGGGCCCGCGGGGTGGGGCCGGGCGGGGGGCGAGCCGGCGCCCCTCGGGCCCCCCGGGCGGGCAGGCGCGTCCTGCTCCCGGCGCGGGCGCTCGGCGACACCCCGGGACTGTCCCGCGGGCAGGACCGTGGCCCCGGGGCCGCTGCGCACCCCCGCGCCCCCGGCCCGCGCCCCGCCCGCCCTGCGCTGCGCTGCGGCCCCTCCGGGTCGGCGCCCCCGCCCGCCCGGCCGGCCCGGGGGTCCGCGAGTCCTGCCCGCGGCCCGGCCGCCCCCCCCGGCCCCCCCCGCGCCCGCGCCCGCCCCCGCCCCGCGGCGTGACCGGCAGTTACCCCGGCGCGGCGCGCACGCTCCGCCTCCCGGCCCGGCCCGGCCCGGCGCGCCTTGTGCGAGGACCGCGCGGGGCCCACCGCCGGGGCGCCCCGGCCCGGACCCCCTCCCCCGACCCCCCCACCCCCCGGGCCCCGCGGCCAGCGCCCGCCCCTCCCGCATCGCCGTCCCGGGCACCGGGCGGCCGCTGCCCCGCTCGGGCCGCGCGTCCTCCTGGCCTCGCCGGCCGCGCCTGTGCCGGGGCGCGGGGAGGTCGCCGGGACGCGCCTGCGGGCGGGGCCCCTCGATGCCAGCCTCGGCTTGCGGCGCCCGGGCCGGGCCTTGGGGGCGCCGGTCGGCTGGGGAGTCGCGCTCGCCCCAGAAAGCCTCGCCCCTTGGGCTGCGCGTGACAAGTTCTGTCCCGGCCTGTCCACGGGCCTCTGAGAGGCCGGTGCCCGCCGCACCCCGCGCCCCGGGCCGTGAGGGCTCTTGGCACCCGCCCTCGGCCCAGAGTGGGGCAGGACTCCGGGCACCCCCGGGGCAGGGCCCTGGAGGAGGCTCCTCAGCACCCTTCTCCCTTAGGTGCCGGGGTGCCCAGGGCTCCCGGAGGGGGCACCGGCCCAGCGCCCTGGGCGGGCACCGAGGCGGCCGCGGTGACCCGGGGACGTGAAGCCGTCCTGCCCTTCTCTGGCCTGACGTCCCTGGCGCGGGGCGAGGGCTCCTGCCTCCACTGCCCGCGGCCGGGCGGGCAGGCGCGACTGCAGAGCCCCTCCCGGCTAAGTGGGCATCTCCCTTTGCCAGCATTCAAACCAGCCCCACAGAAAACCCTCCAGCAAACAGGCAGCGGGAGCCCTGGGGGGCAGCCTGGCACCCCGCACCCCCAGGTGGACCGATTTAGTGTACTCGGCAGCAGCGGTTGCGAGCTGGGGGGGCAGTGCCCGGTGAGAGGGACCTGCAGGGGCCGGGAGGAGAGGGGCGGGCACCTATTTGTTTTATTTTTAATGAGCCGGGAGGCCGGGCCAGGAGCTGTAACCCACATCGCCGCGGGTCCCATCTGAGGCTGTTCCAGAGAGCTGGTCTATTTCCAGTGGCAGGCGCTGCCTCCCGCCTCGCCAGGTGGCCTCAGTCACGGGGTGGGGGGCGCTGCTCCCCTCGGAGCACAGGTGGGGAAGGTGTGTGCCCTGCCGCTGCTCTGCCGGGGTGGGCTGTGTGGTCGTTTTCCCTGGAAAGGACAGGGCTGGGCTGACCCAGGTCACCTCCAGCGCGCCCTAACAGCCACGAACAGTCGAGTGGGGACACTGCTGGGCTGGGGTTCTGGCCCCACTAGGGCCCACGCCCTCTGTGCTGTGGATCCCCCTCCACAGTGAGGAGCTGGGGTGGCAGTGCCCCTGCGAGGGTGATGCAAACCCGCAGCCTGGAGTTTGGGGCACATTGTGCAGCAGCCACATCAATTGTCGCTATTGTTTCTAGCACTCACCTCCCGGGGGGGGGGGCGGCCTGTGTACAACCAGATAGTAAGCTCTCCACGCTGCCTCTGCTCTCGCTCCCCCCCCAAATCACTTGGGCCCCAGCGCTGTGCCGCTGGCTGGACCCTCGACTCCTTCCCCGCATTCGCCCACGTGGCAGCAGGACAGGGTCCCAGGGGTGGCTCTGGCCTTCGCTGGCTCCCCAAAGACCTCTCAACCAGGTTCCAGTGCCCGCTCCAGACGCCCCCTTTGCTCCTGCCCCGGTCAGGCCTGAGCCCCTGGACTTCCCTCCCAGGGCCGATGGTTCTCTCTGAGCTTTCCACAGACTGTCCCCTGGCAGGAGCCTGGCAGGGACGCCCCACCTCACCTCCAGAGATCAGGGGCATTTTATTTCCTCAGACGCACTGGATGCCAGCGCCCCCGCCCTGGCTGGCTGCGCGTGTCCCGCCTCCAGCTCTGGCCTCGCCCTGTGGCGATGCCCACACTCTTGCCAGGTCCCAGACTTGAGCCTGAGCTCGCTGAGCTCCAGCCACCGGTGTGCAGCCGAGCCCGGTGCTCCGTGTCTGAATGAACCACTGCGTGAATGAGTGAATGAATGAATGACAACGAGGAGATAGTTTCCAGTCCGGAGGGGGGCGTCCAAGCCTGGGGACACAGGTGTGGCCTCTGCCGTGGCCGGTGGAGGGGGTCTCACTGCCCACCCCTCTGTGAGTGCTGGTTGCGCCCAGGCTGCCTCGAGGTGATGGCCACATGGCACGGGGGGTGTGCAGGTGGTTCTCGCAGCTGGAACACTGGAGGCCGGTCGAGGGGTGGCCGGGGGATGGGCAGCTGTCCCCACCCCACTGAGCCACGCGAGTGGGGCTCCTGGTGCCTCAGCCTGGATGTGGTTTGCAAAGCAGAGGTTTAGCTCGTCTTAGTGCTGAGCAGGGGGGCCGGGGGGGGGGTGGCCCCTGGGCCAGCACCGTGCTACCAGCTCCTGCAGAATCAGAGGACAGCCTGTGACCCCGAAGGGCAGGCTTGGGGGGACAAGAGGCAAGCACTTGGTGCCTGTTCTGGTGCCGGGCCCAAGCGCACTTTCCTTCTCAGGCGCCCAAGCCAAGGGCATGGGGCCGGGCTGGCGCCCCCCCTGCTCCCCAAGGCCAGGCAGGGGCCGGGCACCAGGCAGGGGTGCGCCCTGCAGCAGCTCCTTCACACCAAGCGCCCAGGGCCCGGGTCAGGCTGGCATGACCCTCCCGACCACGTCAGGAACCTGAGCCTTCCGAGCGGCCCCCAGCCTGGCCGGCGCAGGCCGGTGAGTGCGGCCACCTCAACCCACTCGTGCATCTGTGTCCACACTGTGTGCAGCGGGTGGGCTAGGCTTTGATTTGGTGAAGTGTTCAGAGGTGAGAGATGCCTGGGAGGGTGTGTGTGTGTGTGTGTGTGGACACCCCCAAGCTAGAGAGACCCTCGAAGGCCCCGACGAGGAACACCAGCTTCAACAACAGCCAAGACGGGAGAGGACGCGCGAGCCGGAGTGGCAGTGGCAGGTGGCGGGGCCTGTTGGGTCCGTCTACTCTCTGGTTTCCTTTGGATCTTTGACTTGAGACAGAAATGATCAAAGGCTTTTGACTCAAAGAAACACCCAAGAATCCAAAGAAAAGCGCAAGTACACTCGGCTCCTCCTCGGACACATAGCCACACACCGTGTCCCCAGGCGGCGAGACCAGAGAGGTTACCCAGGCCCCTCGGCGAGGGCACCGCCTTCAACCGCCCAGAGGGGCGTCGCCCCAGGCCCAGCAGCACCAGGGGGCGTGGTGGGCTCCAGAGACAGCTAGAAAAGGCCCAGCAGAGCCTTGTGCAGCCTGCGTCCTCTGGGAGCGCCTGGAGCGTGTCGATGTGCTCTGGCCTCCCTTCCTCTGCTCGGACACCCTGCCCGGCGCGCCTGCGCGCGTGCTTAGAGGAGCAGGGGGCTTGCGAGGCCACGCTGCCTGGAAAACACCAGGTGCCCTCAGGAGGCCACGAGCGCTGTGTTCTGACGGCTCAAATTCTGGGCTTCTGTCTGCCCCCCCTTTATTGTGGGGTTCAGAGCAAGTGCCTTGAATGGCCTGTGCCTCAGTTTACTCATTTGTACAATGGAGAAAAACGATCCACCTTTCCGACATCTCTGGTAAAGGCACAGTGAGCGAGGGGAGCTGGGGTATGGGAAACTGAAAGGGTCAGGCCAAGCCTAGCTCCCCCAGATGCAGCGGGGTCAGGAGGTGCAACCCCGCTCCTGAGGCTGCTGTCAGCCTCACAGGGAGCGTGCAGGGGCCGTCGTACGCTGTGCATTTGTCGGTCATTCGGGTGACTGTCGACGTGCTGCCCCTCCGTGGGTGCCTCCCTCAGCCCCCACCCGGCCTCCGAGCCAACGCCTGACCCCGTCTGTCCTCGTCCCTGGCCCTCGCCCTGCTCCCCCTCGTAACAAGCGTGCTTTCCACAGAGTCTGAGGGTGAGTTTGCCGTGCTCTGCCCGCGTGTTCAGTCAGTTGCGTTGCACATTCTATGGGGCCACGCGCGCCTTTCCTGGATTTTTGCTGACGAGACACAGGTCTGTCATTTTCATGGGGGCCGACAGGTCGTCCTTTGAGGCTGAAGGTTTGCAGATTCATTTTGTGATTCGAGCTTACGAGTCACACGTGGCCGCGGCCGGCGGGCTCCAGGGTTCACTGAAGCCTCTTTTGCGTTGAAGGAGGCGGAGGCTAGCGCGGAGGGCAGCCCAGGCCAGCTCCGGCCTCCGCGGGGCCCCGCTTCAGAGTCCCCTGAGCGGCCCTTGGCCCTGAGCCCAGCAGCCGGGGCCGCGCTCCTCCCCGGGCGGCTGCTAACCGCGCGTCTCTCTCCGCTTTCCAGAACGCCAGCAGCTACTCTGCAGCGGGGACGGAGCCCAAGTCCGTGTGCGTCTCGGTGGACGAGGTGGTGTCCGGCAGCATGGAGGCCAGCGAGACCGACCTGCTGAAGGGACATCTGAAAAAGGTGGACAACAGCCTCACCGAGGCGCAGCGCTTCTCCTCCCTGCCCCGGAGGGCGGCGGTGAACATAGAATTCAAGGACCTTTCCTACTCCGTCCCCGAAGGGCCCTGGTGGAGGAAGAAAGGTAGGGAGGGCCGGGAAAGGCCGGGTCGTCGGGGGAGCCGGGCCGGGGAGCGGGGAGGCTGTCACCCGCCGCCCGTGTGCCCTCCGCCCCCTGCTCGCCGCCGGAACCAGCGGGCTGGCTGAGATGACCAGGCCCGCGTGCCACGGCGCCGGCTGGTTTCTGGGTACGCTTGGGGGTCCGCCTCCCCGGATGCCGTCTGTGTTAGTCTTTCAAGACGGGGCTAATTTGTAACGTCTCCGCAGAAAATGGAAGGCAGGTGCCCAGTGTCCCTGTGGGAAGTGGCCCAGGGTCGCCGGTGAGTGACCTGGAGTGACCGCCACTGGAAACTGATCTTTGAAAGTCCCCTCGAGGGTGGTGTCGGGGGCAGGCGTGGAAATAAGCTGCTGTCGAGCGAGCCATGGAAATCAAAGGCAGAAGAGCCGGCGGCGTGAGAGGGCACCGGGGCGGCCGCGGCTCGGCCATGGGACGGAGATGGGGATTTGGGGTGTGTGTGGCGACCGCGGCCTCCCTTTGCCGGCTCGCAGTTTCCAGCGTGTAGCGTCGGGGCCTCCTGGGCTGGTGTTTCTTTTTCCAGCCTGACCCACTTCTTCCCGGGAGCTCACTCCCGGCTCCCCGGTGCGGGGGGTGGTGTCCAAACATCCTGCCGGCGGCCGGGGGACCCGCTGGGGCCCGCCGGGCCATCCGACATCACGCGCCACCGGGAAACCGCGGCCCGCATAGAGCACCTTGAAAGTCTTTGAGGCGTTTGGAACAAGAAAAGTGACGACGGGTTTCCATCGTCATTTGGAAGAGCTGGAGCGTGGTCGTTCTGAAGACGTCCTACCGCGCCCACTTCTGCTCTTGCGTTTTCCTTTCCTCCCGCCTCTGTCTTCCTGTTCTCTGGACGCTGAGCCCGGAAGGCCGGGGCAGGGCACTCTGGGCCCTGGGGCCGCCCTCGAGCCTGGCCCCACCTGGGCTGGGGAGGGGGCCCCACGGGCGCGGCTGCGCGTGTGTGCCTGCACGCCTGTGTCTGTGCGTGTGTCTGTGCTGCCCCTCCCCACAGCTGCCTGGGTAGCCCGTTACCTGACCTGTGCCAGGCCATGCCAGCCTCTGTGAGAAAGAAATTCGGGGGCAGACTGGGGCTTGGGCCCACTTGTTTGAGCCTTTTGAAGTGTCAGCCGAGGAGTAACCGGCGCTGACAGCCTCGTCCTTCTCAGGCGGGGAAGGCATTTACTGAAAACGCCGTGGCTTGGTTTTCTATAGACAAAGTATGGCAAAGCCGTGAGCCGCCGTCTGTCTGTCCGTCCGTCCGTCACCTGCGCCGTGCAAAGGCCGCGACGATGGTCGACGGGCCTGACCGGGTCCCGCGCCCAGACAGCTCCGAGGGTGGACGCGAGGGTGTGGATCCGGGGGTGGTGGTTTGAGCCCGCGAGCAGGGGCCCGGCAGTGCTGCAGGGGAGAGGAGCAGGCCGTGGCCTCCGGTGCCCCGGCTCACGTCCCCCAAGCGGCCGGCAGCGCCGGCCTGTTTCCTAGCAGGCGGCACTGCTCTCCACTCCCAGCAGCCCTCCAGGAAGCCCAGCCCAGGCGGCTACCTGACACACACTTGCCCTGTAGTAACCCGCATGGGCTCTGCGGGGGGAGGAGGAGGAAGTGGCCCCGAGGGACCGGCCTGTGAGTCAGACATGCGGGCGCTGAAGAGGAAGCCTGCCTGGTTCCTCAGCTGCCATGGCCTGACTCTGGGACTCCCCCACCCCCAGCAGCAGCCCCTGTCCGGCCCCTGCCCTCCGCTGGCCCTGTCTTCTCCTGTTCTTGGCGCCTGCGGTCCAGGATTGAGATGGCGCCCGCTTCAGGGTGGGAAATACTCGTCCACCCTCGCACTCAAGAGGAGAGCCGGGGGAGGCACCCCGGGGCCCAGGGCAACAGGCCCTAGGCAGCCCCAGTGCCCACCTGGCACACGGCCTGTGGGCCCCGTAGCCACAGAGAGGAGGTGCCCCTCCTGGGCCCGGGCTCACAGGGCCGCTCTGCTGCTCCTGGCACGTTGCCTGCCCATCAGGCTGGAGGCCACAGCCAGAGAACGGGAGTTTCCTTTCCAAATGAGAGGGTTCGGCTGTGATGTGCATTTCAGCCTCCCCCCCCCCCCCCATTGCCAGCAGGCTCTTAAGCTCTCCGTCCATGCTCAGAACTTGGGAACCAACTAAGAGCTGCCACCAGGACGGGCAATGAAAGCAAGACCAAGCCTGAACTAGGGCATCGGGGCTGCCCAGGGCCTACGGGCTGGCACCTGTGGACCTGGTCCCTATCCTACCTGGTGCCTCTCCCCCCTTCTTGTCCCTGCCAAGCCCCCAGCTCAGGGGCTGCCCTTTATCCTCGCCACGGGTTCTGGCCTTCCCCACTCTTTCCCCCGGCACTGGCCACTGTCTCAGCTCTGGTGTTGGTGGGGTCCGGCCGGGCCGCCCGTCCAGCCTCCCCTTGTGTCTGGCGGCATCTCTGTGATGTGGCGGGCCCTGAGGCCTGTGCTCTCTCTCTCCTCGCATCGCATCAGTCTTCCTGCCTCTGCACGGTGTCCAGCTTTCCGTGCTGCCCTCACTGCAGCGTCGTGAGGGGAGAGGCCACCCACTGCTAAGAGCCCAAAAGTGTCCACACAGCCTGGTCTGGACCAGGAGCCAGGGGCGGAGGCCACATGCTCGAGGCCAGAACCAACGCTGGCCCAGCAGCCTGGCGCCTCATGGGACTCTGCCCGCGCAGGGACACGGCCGCGGCCAGCTCCCGGGGAGCCAGGACATTGATGCAGACGCCGGCAAGCTCGGCGCTGACCACGCAGGGAAGGCCCGTGGGGAAGGGGCCATGGATCAGGCCAGCCTTTCTGAGGACTGATTCCAGAAAATTCTTGCACTTGACAATCACCAGGCCTTGACTGCGGCGTCGACAAAACATCTTGTGTTTTCAATTGCAGTTACATTTTCATGTGATTAATGATGTCTTCGGAGGGAAGGCGAGATCGCGTAATAGATTCCTAGTAGGGAACGTGATTGTGCTCAGAGCTGCTCTCGGGAGGACGCGGGCCCGAGGAGAGCGTCTCCGGCTTCGGATACAGTAATTACTTCCCCTTGAGGACTCGCCCACGCGGCGCCCGCTGACAGGACAGATGATCGGGGCCAGCGTGCACCTGGGCGGGTCACACAGACCCCGGTGTCGGGGGATGCCCCGCCGCTGGCGGGGCTGCCCTGCTCCCCCGCCCCTGCCGAGTCTGCACATGGCTCCGGACACTCGCTGTTGGTGGGGAGCTTCCCGGGGGCCGCGGGCCGCTCTGGCTCTGCCAGCTCCCTCCCACAGGGGTCTGTAGTCTCTACACTGCAGTGGGTGTGATGTGAGGGGTGCAGTAAGCACACGGGGTGCCCTGGAGATGCTGCCCCCCCCAGGGAACCCCAGAGTAACATGGAACCAGCCCCGCAGGGCTCGAGCCCATCCTGCCCCATGCGCAGGTCTTCCCACTCGAGGCTGAGCCCGAGCAGGCCCTCGTGGGCACCTGACCCTGCAGGAGCGGGAGGCGGGGGGTGCCTGCGCCTCGGCACCACTGCCCAGCCACCCCAGGCCTGGACGGCCCATGCCATCCGTGTCCCTCCCAGTCTGCTCGAGTGCCGCTGGCCACCCCTTTGGCGCAGGAAGGGAGCTCCCGGCCTGCAGAGGCCCTGGCGGCCCCTCAGCGGGGTGCTGGCCGCGCGTGCGTCCACCCGGTCCTTCTCCCTGCCCCTCAGCCTTGGGCGCTGCCTGCCTTCATCCGTTTTGGGTCGTTTCACCCCTGTTTGCTTGGTCAAGCCATCGTTGGATAAGTACCCGACCCCTCTCGGTCTCCGGCTTGCCTCCCCGCGCTTCGCCCTCGAGCTCCGTCCACTTTGCTGGAAAGGCAGCGTTTCCGCCTTCCTCACGGCCGGTCACTCCGCAGCGAGGGACCCCCCTCTTCCTGGCCCGTCCTCCTGCGGGCACGGAGGCTGCGCCCACGCCCCGGCCGGCCACTGGGAGTGGCGCTTCTGGGAGCGGAGGGGCCGCTGGCTTTGGGAGCAGACACCGCCTGTCCTGCAGGTGGACGCGGCAGGGTGGCCGGGCCGTCCGCTTCCGTCTCTAGCGTCCTAAGGTGAACCCAGATCACTTTCCGCAGCGGCTGCCCGGCTCCGGGTCCCACCGGCCCCCTCTTTCCCTGCGTCCTCACTCGGCCCGTGGCTGGCATCAAATCCCCTCTCAAGGGTCCTGGTGGTGGCGAGAACAGAAGAAACCGTCTGGAGCTTAGGCGGCCTCCTTCCTGCCGCTGGGCCGCTGGGCCGCTGGGCCGCCGTCTCAGGCGAGGGGCTGGGCTACGGCCTCCGGCTATGAAACCCGGTCCCAGCCCCGTTCTTGCCAAATAACAAGGAGTTAAACATTCCGGGTAGCAACACGGCCGATTATCCTTCTGGTTTGCTTCTAAGCTATGGAAATGCCTCTGAACGCCCTTCTCAAGTTAAAGTTTGCTTTCTCTTAATTTCTACAACGATTTCATCAGGCCTGTGAAGACAGGCTGGCTCCTGTGAGTGGAATGTGCCATTAATAACCCCCTTTCAGGAATTCCATCAAGGGCAGGCTGGATGCCACCCAAGCGCGGGGTGCCCGCTCCACCGGGCGCTTGGGCAGGATGGGACGGGCAGGCAGCTCTGGGTTTGCGGTGGGGTGAGCGGCTCCGGCCCCCAGGGAACTGATATTCCCCTAAAGGAGCAAGTCCTTTTATATTTCTTGGAAATGCTCGTGCCGGGAGGCCTTCTTTGGGGAGAGGAGGGCACCCCAGCACCCAGCGCCGTCCGGCTGGAGGTCGTGGCTGGTCTTTTACGGCGGCCTGGCCCAGGGTGCCCCGGGGCTCCCTGCGTGAGGCTGGGTGTTGACACTGGGCTCCTCTCTTCCTCCTCGGGGTCTGTTCTCGGGGGCTCAGCACGTGGGCCTGCCCAGGGAGGCTCGCGGCAGCAGGCTGCCCACTCAGGCCCCTTGGCGGTGTTGAG